GACATGACACCCCCCCCCCCCCCCCCAATATAACTTTATTTCCACCAAATATTTTATAATTAACAAACTCACACATCATAGTCTTTGTACAATATTTCAATTTTACTTTATATATATTAGATGATTGAATCCGTTATTGCTGTAATATAATTTTTATAAATATGTTAACGGGTGATACTCGTAAAATATTTGTTCCAAATATTACCGTCAACGAGTCCAACTCGGCGCGCGTCCTGGTAGGTTATAAACCTACAATAAATATGTAGTATTACCCAAAACCCAGCAAGACATGGTTGATAGTGAAACCAGAGCATGCAACCAAAGCTAAGGAACTCTTTCCAGATGTTCAGATCACTACCAAAGGCCACCGTTATCTTGGGTCATATATTGGATCAGAAGAAGGGGTAAAAGAGTTCATACTAAAGGAGACCGAAAGTTGGAAAGCAGACATTCTCGGACTCGTCGAAATAGCTGCAAACGAACCCCAGCTAGCCTACTCCGCTTTCATCTACGGAACCTCCAAAAGATGGAATTTTGTTTGCCGTGCAACCCCAGGGATTTCCGACCATCTGAAACTCTTGGAATATTGTGTCAAGGAAGACTTTATACCACCCATTATGGGCAAAAGTTTTGTGCCTGATCAAATCAGAAAAATAGCTTCACTTCCTGCAAGAATGGGCGGGCTGAGCATTCCAGACTGCACATCAACAGCAGAGATGGAGTACACTAACTCAGTAAATGCTACAAAACAGCTCACAGAAGCAGTTTTTCAACAGCTTACTACTTTCCAACTAAACGGAGAAGCAGCATGACATTCTAAGTGAAGTAAAGAAGCGCAAGGAAGAGCTTTACAAACACCAACGTGAAACTATTATGAATGAGGTATCCCCATCAACACAAAGGCAATTAGAACTCCTTAGTGAAAAAGGAGCATCCATTTGGTTATCCACACTCCCTCTAAAAGCATGTGGGTACGTCCTTAACAAACAAGAATTTTTTGATGCCCTCTCACTCAGGTATAATCTTACACTGTCTACAGCTAACAGAAGTCCCCTATGTGTATGTGGAAATCAAAATCATATCAACCATTGCATACTCTAACCTGCAAAATCGGAGGCTACGTTTCACTTAGACACAATTCACTAAGAGATACAATAGCTGAACTCCTAACCACTGTTTGCAAAGACGTTGAAACAGAACCCCAGCTTCTCTCCGTTCCTCACACACTTGAACTATCTAATGGAACAAATAGACAGGATGGTGCAAGACTGGACATCAGTGCGAGATCGTTTTGGTCGCCGCTGGACAGGGCATTCACAGATGTAAGGGTACTTCACCCTCAAGCCCAGTCCAACAGTGACAAGAGCATCTCACAGATGTACCAATCTCACGAGAAAAGCAAGAAACGTGAGTACAATGACAGAGTCCTCAATGTTGAAAAGGCTACCTTCACGCCACTGGTGTTCAGTACTACAGGAGGAATGGCAACTGAGGCTTCACAGTTCCTAAAACATCTCGCTGAAAAGATCAGCCTAAAGAAAGGCCAACGGTATTGTGATGTGATGTCATTTGTCAGACGCAGACTGCGTTTTGATCTACTCAGAACCTGTATAATATCTATCAGGGGGTACAGAGGTACCAGAACCCTTCCACCCACAGCAATAAGTGATTTGGACCTTAACCTGATCAACACTCTTAAACCCTAAAAGGTCATGGAGTGCTTTTTGGATGGGGGTCTTAACTGCTTTTTGTTGTGATGTGATTTAGTGGATTTTATATATATTATCATTTATCACAAAGGGTTTTATTTTTACCTCAGTTTTTAAATTTGTACCATTTTTACAGAATTTTTATATAGGGTCATTGCTATATTATGTGTATATTGTTTGAATATTTCTTTTTTATAAATATGTAGCGTATACCTTCAACTTTGTATTTTTCCACAATGATTATATAGCACGACGCGCGCCCAAATTACTATCAATACTTGAGGGTGCTAAAATCGAGCGTCGACTGATATTACGAATAAAATCAAATATGAATTGGTTCAGGGAGTGTTTGTTGGGTGATGGCTTGAACCGCTTGTTGTTGTGATGTGAGCATGTAAATTATATAGCTACATGATACAGAAAATGTACTTTTATTTATAGTTAACCACTTTATATTCTAAAAACTGGATCATGATGCACTCCGTTTGAGCCAAGAGGCTTGAAAAAATGAAACTACACTTACACAATTTATTGTCAACTCGCGGTCACAAGTTTTCGACGATTCTATTAAACGATTTACCTTGAACCTCTCTAGCTTATAAAATCTTTTTCTCCCCTTTTTGCGGTTCTTACTAAATCGCTCGCCCAAAAATTTCACGTGACTTAATTGGTTTTTTTTGGTTTTGCAGCCGTACAAAACGGTTTTACATAAACCCTAATCCCAACCCTAACCCTAACTATAACCCCGAAGCTATCCATAATCTTAACCACAACCCCAACCCTAACCCGAGCCCTAAACAATCGAATTCACGTTTAACTAGCCTGTCACGTGACCAAAACGGTTTTTTGCCCATAACTCTCCAGGGAAGCATTTTAACCCTACGTCATGGGGGGTGATTCGGAATCAGCGTCCAAAAATACACCTATTTAGATCACTTTCATGCCTAAAGGGCCTTTTCACAAGAATTTTCTTAAAATTTGGGCGAGTGATTTAGTAGGAGCGCCTTTTTGCACTTAGCCAGTAGTGACAATGAGCTTGTGATTTCATACTGTTATTATTATCAAACATGTCAATCTTACAAATGTCAACAATTTTAAAATAATTTAGAACCTAAACGTGATCCTTTGTAAGATTATATGTCCCAAAAGTCAAATTCACTTGTACTCAAGTATAAAGTCGAACAATTTACTCCAATAGCCACGGTTACTAGCAAGTTCTCTCAAATGAAGAATATCATCATACGACTCCAGCAAGATGAAACGCTTCCAGAGGTCAACCTTCAGGTGGTGTAGGAGGTTACGTCTGTGAGCCCCGAGTCTACCAACTTCACTACACATCTCGACAGCAAAGCACAGCGCAGCTTGAGCTGGTGACCTTTCTTTGCTCCTCAATATGTGTCCTAGCATCTTCCACCTAGATAACTCAGCACGCTCAGACATAGGGGTAGAGTTACTCTGTTTGTATAGGGTATCTTTGTATAGGGTATCTTTGGACATCATACTGTTGAAGAATAAATTTCTAGTACCATCCAATCCTTGAAGGAATTACAAGTTTAAGTTCCTTCATATTATATTTGACTAACAAATGACAGTTGTTTTGCATACTTCTTTATTTAAATTTACGATCACTGCAGCTTCGGTGTGTAAATCAAAACCATCTTTACCTGCAGCAATGTTTTGTAGGTCATCTAATCGACCTCTCAGTAACTACTCAGCTGTCTGTGCTGTGCATCTATCACCCACATTTAAGAATTTGTTTGTCTAACCTCACCCATGGATGCATCAGTAACGGGTTTCACACTACCCATGCTTTTTGCCAGGTCCCCATTTGTATTATATTCCTATTCTCGCTACTTTCTCCAGACAAAAGTTTTTTGTAATTTTCAAAATCTAGTTTAATGTTCAGTACTTTGTTAATCAAATTTAATTCACCTACCCATGAGCTTACAAGTACTACAACCAGTATCCCGATAGTATGGGATGAAATCGGGCATCTACTTTGACATTATTCAGTGAATAAATTGCTGATTCAAAGAAATAGTACAGATTGGTTAATCTTAATGAAATAATTAAAACTTTGTCCCCTAATTAATTTTATATGATTTCATTAGTTAAAAGCATGATTCTAAATGGTCAGAATTTTACTAGCATCAGTAACTGGGTCTCAGAGATTGTGCAGTGCATTAATCAGGATGGCTTCCGATTGGCTAGAATGTGATGTACATCATTATCTTGATTGGATGTCAGTTTCATTAAATCAACTCATATCTTTTATACCATGTTAATCTTCTCGTCGAGTATTGCATCACTTCGCCCACCACGTCCTCTGTGATGTTTTGTTTTTGCTGAGCTTGTCAAATTTGAAATCCTATCACTTGCACTTTTTTTGATGATAATACCTCCGAATGATGAGGTTAAAAAACATGTAAATGCCAATTGTACCCAGTAGTACTACTTACAAGGCTGATATTAGTCTGACATAAACATGAGAGTAATGTAATAATCCCTTTTAATTTTAGAAGTTATTTAGTTAAGGGTTGAAGTTGTGTTATCCGGCCTCAAGCCATTTCACTTACAGTTCTTTTTCTGTATCACCCATCTAACTCGTACTCCACCTCTCTATTTTATGACAGGAGCTGTTAATCCTGGTTGTGCTGGAATTACCTCTCAATCTTACATCTACTTGGATGAGATCATGCAATATGTGGCAACGTGAACTCCATTTGCAGTCTAATATATGATCTAACATTCTCTGGTTGCTCCAATGTCTAGTTCATCCTGTTTTTTATGGTGATCGTTAGCTTTGTGTCGTTTGTGTCATATTGAAATGCTGAGATTAAAATGCTGTCTTGTAGTTTAACGATACAAATTAGCCAATTTTATAACTTTTGTATCAAATTATATTATCGATGGATTCACCTAAAATCTATTGAGTGCACAATGGAAAATTTATTCGAAGTAATCATAAAATTACCCTATCTTAATGAAATAATTAAAACTTGGTCTCCTAATTAATTATTATTAACGCTATTTCATCCCATTAGCTTAGAGCTTTAAAGCAAGCTCCTTATCGGTCAGAATTTTACTAGTGTCATGATAACTGATGACGTCATTATCTTGATAGTATCATTTATTTTAATGTAATCATATCATGTTTATTTATTTGCAGATTAGTTAATTAGTTTGTTCATCACTTTCTCTACTACATTATGTTTGTACTAACCTAAGTTACTTGTCAAGTTTAATATTTTTTGTTGTTGTTGATAATAATTCTAACCTCAATAATTTTCTAGCAAGTCAATCAACATGGGTGATAAGAAGTAAGTGATGTCAAACAAAATTTGGGTTTTCTAGAATCGTTATTAAAATTATAAAGCTCATTTAAATGTAATTTATTAATCTTTTAAAGTGAGACGAGATATAAGTGTTCACTTCCCTGCCTAATAGTCATTTTCTTCTCACATACCATCCTGAATTTTGCTCTTTATTCTTATCTCTATTTATTGACTCAATGTTCCCACCTCAGAGAAGACACTTCCACTGCAATCCTTAACCAGAAGCCAAGAGCCAACAGACTTCTCGTGGAAGATGCTATTAACAATGATAATTCAGTCGTCACGCTTTCCCAAGCAAAGATGGATGAGCTGCAGTTGTTCAGAGGTCAGTTTACAATCTTGATTTAATTCTTAGATTGATGTTGTTTAACGATAACTCATAGGAAGATATCAGCAGAGATATAAGACATGCATAGTATCGAAGGTCATGCTAAGTTTCACTCTTGGCGTCTAAACGATTAAAGTTTAGTCGTTAACACGTGAGGAGGTGCAATGATCTATGTTGTCTACATTCTGAGTCACTAATATATACTATAATACACGAGATAATCTCAATCTCATCTCTTACAGGTGACACGGTACTGTTGAAAGGAAAGAAACGTAAAGATACTGTCTGTATCGTCTTGTCAGATGAAACCTGCCCCGATGAGAAGATCAGAATGAACAAGGTTTGTCTCACAGTTTACGGGGATCACTTAAATTAGTATCTTATTATTTCTGAGTTCGTTTTAGTGAAGAGGATCTGTGTTTAACTTTTTCTGCCTACAAGAAAGTAGATATTTTACTTTATAACGTTGTTATGTAGCTCCTTACCTGTTAAAGATCAGCTCATATTAAACACAATAAACTCTTCAGGTGGTTAGGAACAACCTGCGAGTAAGGTTAGGAGATGTTGTCAGTATCTCCGCTTGCCCAGATGTAAAGTACGGCTCTAGGATTCACGTTCTTCCTATTGATGATACCATTGAAGGACTAACCGGGTAGGCTACATTGTACAAATAAATGCTTATTACAAAATTTGTATTGATCCCGTTATTACTGATATCGATCTTATTAGCAGTGGTTATATTCACTGCTAAGTTTTAGAATAAATGTTCATTTTGTGAAGAACGGGAACGTTTCTACATTTCACTGAGTCAAGAACCTTATATGCGAGTTAACACAGGGGTATCCACAGTAACCTGTTCGACGCATATCTCAAGCCACATTTCCTGGAAGCTTACCGACCAGTACGAAAGGGAGATCTGTTCTTAGTGCGTGGAGGAATGCGAGCAGTTGAATTCAAGGTTGTAGAGACAGACCCATCTCCGTACTGTATTGTTGCCCCTGACACTGTGATTCATTGTGAGGGAGATCCCATCAAGAGGGAGGAAGAGGAGGACAAACTCGCTGAGATTGGTAAGTAGGCGGATATTTGGACTTAACATTCTACCGAACTTTTAATCATCGGAATCGGTTTATGTTTGTATATTCATATTAAGCCTTCTTGCTTTGGCTTCAATATATTTTTTAAAGCAGATATCGTTTAAAAAACCCCAATAAATTTAACATTATATCCCGTTCCCAGGATACGACGATATCGGAGGGTGCAGGAAGCAGCTAGCTCAAATCAAGGAGATGGTTGAGCTTCCCCTCAGACATCCCCAACTCTTCAAGGCCATCGGAGTCAAACCTCCTCGTGGTATTCTCATGTACGGACCTCCTGGAGCCGGTGAGTGGTTATTTGTAGTTGTGAATTTCTGTTAGGATGACAATTTTGTTGTGCAATACATTATTATGGTGTTTTTATGGAAATTGATTGCATAACAAATCATGAGTTATTGCATTATTGTAACGCCTTACTTTGGAAGTGAAAAATACTAACATTTGCACAAACCAACCTAAAAATCAGTAATTAATGCTATCATATATAATTCAAACTAAGATGATAAGATTAAATCAACAGAATAGGTAGTTTGGTAGCGATAAAAATAATGATCGTTTATCATAAATAACGATACAAATATTTCACTGTCACCTTGACAGGTAAAACACTGATCGCAAGAGCGGTGGCTAACGAAACTGGAGCCTTTTTCTTCCTGATTAACGGACCTGAGATTATGAGCAAACTGGCTGGAGAGAGTGAGAGTAACCTTCGTAAAGCTTTCGAGGAAGCTGAGAAGAATGCTCCTTCTATCATCTTTATTGACGAGATCGATTCTATTGCTCCCAAGAGAGAGAAGACTAATGGAGAGGTGAGTGTTTATTAAAACAGTGTAATTCTTCATACCGTGGTTTTTCCTTTCCCCCGAAATGATGATTCCATAATACATATGCAGTTGAACTTTCTATACCGTATTTTTTCTATATCACGCATTTTTCGATTCCCCAGAGAATCACGGTGTATAGAGAGTTTTTACTGTAAATTTTGTTTTAAGCCGAGTGTACCATGCAGACTGCAGTGTATAGAATTACTCGTTTTCCGTAAATACTCGTTTTTGTATACAATTGATACAAGGTGACCCGGAAGCATGCCCAATGCCCATAGCTTCTCTTTAATAACCGAAAGAAACTCTGGCATATATAATATTCCTGTGTGATCCAGTATACACTATACAAATATTGTATTGGCTAAGTGATGTTTATAGGAGAGCTCTAGCAGTATAGTTAGTAGTAAAAGTGTAATGATCTGTAGAGTGTGTTAAACATGCTCTCCACACTCAGGCCTCAGCTATTGTTGCAGTATATCCTAGATTGTTCACTGTTCAGGGGTCCAGGGAAGATTCTAGCACTTCTCTGCTCTTCCTTAGTTGAAATATATCTGTTCCACCTGTATGGATGTACTCAACTAGTCTAGTGCAAACGTCAAAATTCATACGAACATGATAAGTCATTCATGTAATAATCTCTGATCGCTCATATTTTCGTCTTCAATAAGATGAATTAAGCGGTTTGAATTAAGTATTACATAAGCAGTCAAACAATTTATATTGTTTCCAAAACCACAAAAAACTAGAACAATAAATCCATTCAGGTTGAGAGACGTATCATTTCACAACTGTTAACCCTGATGGACGGTATGAAGAAGCGAGCTCACGTTGTCGTCATGGCAGCCACAAACCGACCCAACAGCATCGACCCTGCCCTTCGAAGATTCGGTCGATTCGATCGGGAGATCGATATTGGAATCCCAGATGTTATTGGACGTTTGGAGATCTTGAGAATTCACACCAAGAACATGAAACTCGGTACGTAATTTTGGGTTTTGAAAATATATCGCATGATACTGTAGTGTTATCCTCCATCCGCATCCGAGTAAATTGCCATTTAATTTTAAGGTGCATTACCGACCAATAGATTTGTGACACCACAATTAACACTTTGTGACCTAAATCCTACCATACCAAACTCTTTCACCCTAATATAATTCTGTAACCAATTTTAATCCAAACATTAATTTCACTATCACAACATCCCTCTCTCTTCAGACGATGACGTAGATCTGGAGGTAGTAGCAAAGGACACTCACGGTCACGTGGGAGCTGATCTGGCTTCCCTCACCTCAGAAGCAGCTCTCCAACAAATCCGTGAGAAGATGCAGCTTATTGATCTGGAGGATGATACCATTGATGTGGAGGTTCTTAACTCCCTGGCTGTTACCATGGAGAACTTCAGGGTGAGTTCTGGGGTTTATCATGGGTGTTAGTTTATAATTAGGGTGCTTTTTATTAAAGGTTGACGTCTGTTTCCTATCTTGGAAACTTTTGACACAATTAATAGTTGAATTAAAAACATAATCTTGTATTATGTGTGATGACGCATGATCTGAATGTGACTATATCGGGTATATTAAGTCATAGTCTATCATCAACAGACAACATCAAATGGGAGCACCATTTTTCGCACTTAATAATGAATGGTCCGATGTGTTCAATACCTGTCGGCTGTAATAAGCTAACTTTAAAAGGTGTCAGACATTCAAATCAAATGAGATAAATGAGCTTGGTCACGTACATAATGTAAATGGTCTGATGTACCAAATGGTATGGGGTGAAACTTGTTGCTATATTTATACTTCCTGTTCCACAATAGTTGTGCTAACATGTTAGTCTAACACGTACACAGTTATATTGTATGTTAGCACAGCTGTGCGATACATCCTCCATCCATATTCCATTATACAATATGTACACTGTACAGTCTAATTTACTGTTCGATCAAGCTAACTACGTCACCTGTAAAATTATGTCTTGCTGAATTAATATATCCAAGCTCTAGCGTATGTTCACGCGTCCTTCGCGATCAAATACTGGTTATATCGTGAGGCAAATAACAGAGAAAGATAAATGGCATCAATTGAATATAGCTTCTATTTCTTATCCCCTTTCAGTACGCAATGGGACAGAGCAACCCCAGTGCTTTGAGAGAGACAGTAGTGGAGACGCCCACTGTAACTTGGGGCGATATCGGTGGTCTGGCTGGAGTCAAGAGGGAACTCCAGGAACTTGTACAGTATCCAGTGGAACATCCAGAGAAATACCTCAAATTCGGAATGCAGCCATCAAAAGGTATGTCCGTCATGCGTTAATTTAGTGATAACCTTTCGGATAACACTTGGATTCATACTCTGACCTTTTACCTGCCAGCCATCCGAGTTTGTGTAGTAAAACTCTTCTAGTGTTCGGCTTATTGGCCTAGCATTGTTAATTTTCCGGTATCGTATGCAATATTATTATCTCTTCGGCCGTTATGTAATACTATGACGCGGCTTGTTTTGAATGTGTGGAAACAAAGGAAGCACACAAAAGATTAAGCACCTAGGGGGCTAGGATCAAAGTATCTTGAACCGTGGAAGATATTTACTAGCCTAAATTATTATCCTACCTTGCTTGCATAACGTGGCACTCATACCACAGTCACGATACGTCATAATTTAGGAAAACAGTTGTTTCCGGGGCCAAATCCAGAGAACACCCAACGCGACTAGCAGTCAAAGTTAAACAAAGTATCCTAAATTGCAATTCGTGATATCACGTGACCGCGCGCGCTACCGTCGCGAGCGAAAGACTCCCTTGTTGTACGTTCGCTCTATCGGACTGAAGAACACTCCAGTCCTCAGCGGTCGATCACACCAGTATACGTAATGTGAGGCTACGTGGCCGTTTATCAATCCAGATAAAAGTAATCTCATCTAACGTCTTATCTATTTCAGGTGTCCTGTTCTACGGTCCTCCTGGATGTGGTAAAACTCTTCTCGCCAAGGCTATTGCAAACGAATGTCAAGCTAACTTTATCTCGATCAAAGGACCAGAAATGTTGACCATGTGGTTCGGAGAATCAGAAGCCAATATCAGAGAAGTGTTCGACAAAGCCAGACAAGCTTCACCCTGTGTACTCTTCTTCGATGAGTTGGATTCTATCGCCAAGTCAAGAGGAGGCGGTGCTGGTGATGCCGGTGGTGCCGCGGACCGAGTTATCAACCAGATTCTTACTGAAATGGACGGTATGGGAGCTAAGAAGAACGTCTTCATCATTGGAGCAACCAACAGACCCGATATCATTGACGGTGCCATCATGAGACCCGGACGTCTTGATCAGCTCATCTACATTCCTCTGCCTGATGAGGAATCTAGGATCTCCATCCTGAAAGCCAACCTCCGAAAATCACCCATCGCCGGGGTTCGTTTGCAGTTAGAAAATAGTTGATTAGTGATTCTAAAGTGCAATATGTCATGCTAGCAGATATTTTTACTCAGTTTTAAATTTGAATGGAACTTTTACCCTATTTAAATTTCAGGATGTTGACCTCTACCACATTGCCAAAGTAACCAAGGGATTCAGTGGTGCTGACTTGACGGAAATTTGCCAGAGAGCCTGTAAGCTTGCAATCCGAGAGGCCATCGAGAAGGACATTATACAAGAGAAGAGACGTGCAGAGAACCCCGACATGGACGAAGAAATGGAGGACCCTGTCCCAGAGATTACCAGGTCTCACTTCACCGAATCCATGAGGTTCGCCAGAAAGTCGGTTGCTGACGCTGACATCAGGAAATACGAGATGTTCTCACAGACTCTTCAGCAGAGCAGAGGATTTGGCCAAAACTATCAGTAAGTCTAAAAATCCGTCCCCTCAAGTTTTAATAAACTTAATCGTGCTAATTTTTGTCTTTCTACCTCGCAGAAACTCTCCAAGATAATCATAACCAATTTCTCGGACTATTTCAAGTTCTAACGACGCTACTTTCAGGATGCCCGCCGCTGGAGGTGACTCATCGGCAACCCCAGCTCCCGCCGACGAGGAGGAGGACGATTTGTACAGCTAGACCCGCTGTGGCAATCACCCGCTGTCCTTCTAATACACTGGTTGTCTGGACAACTAGCCTCAACAAAACTTTGTCGGGTGTTTGATTCCCAGAACGCATTTTATTATGCCCTCCCATTATTGTATATTTAGTTATTTAATTTTTTTCTTTCGTGCAGCCAAAATTTGCTTGACCATGCACCTGATATGATAAGAAAAATTGATGATGGTATTTGATGGGCTGGTCTCAATCTTTAGATCTGGGGTTCAATAGATTGTTGGTTTATTTGTGGTTTAAAATTTATCCTAAGATAACGTTAAATAATATTGATATACAAATTGTACATGGATGGTTATTTGCAAAATGTGAATAGACGGGCCAATAATTTTGCCGTTTTGGGCAGGAAAAAGGCTTGCATTTATGTGATTTCATCTCGGTTGTTTTCTAAAGTGAGATTGTATTGTTTTTGCAATCACGTTTCGCACAAATAAAAGCATTTTCCTTGTTTTATCTGTTCCGATCAGCTATGAATATTATGTAGCTTCTATCAAAATGAAACAAAAATTTCGGATTAAATAAATATATCAATATATTAAATTAATTTTCAAACAAGGTCGTACCGAAGGGGATCGTCAATGCTTGGTCTTATACATTTTCTATGTACAATAATAAGGGTAAAAAAGAACTAACAAAATTAACAGTTACACACAAAGTACAAAATGTATTTTTATATTACATAAAATTCAAGTTATATACTATCTATGTACACTTTTCTCACTTCTGAATTGACAATCGGCTGTCCGTTATAAAGAACACCAATGCTCCTTGCGTAGGTCCTAAAACTGAAGCTAGCAGTCACTACATTAATATTTTAACTAATCGCGTGTTCCTATCGAATTGGATGGTCTAATATCAATTAATTAACTATCAATGCCGAGGTCAGGAGTAAGACCACACCAACATGTAAGATCAGAGAGCAATGTGGAATTATTAATACTTTCCAATGTAACAAGATGTTTTACTGCTGAATTTCTGACAAATCATAAGTCTGAATAGTACGCGTTTTGTCCAATACACGTCACTTCACATAACTACAGTCTCTTATTACTAGACAGTATCTAACGAATCAGTTCGCTTTACGAAAAGCTGTCGTAGAATGTAAGTTTAGGGGGTATAAGTCAGTCCCACTTGACTTCAAGGGTTTCATTTCTTCTTGTTCGTAACGACTGATACTAGCTTTGGCTGAAAAGTTATCACGGTGTTTAAGAAATATAATTAGTCTGAACAAGAACTTAACATTTCTAGTTTGGTAGATGAAAACTATCACCATCTCACTCAATTTGTCACAAAAGCCATTGTTTCGGGATTCATATTTAACAAATTCTTGATGAATGGACCATTATCTAGTGTAATGATAAAAGAAATACTGTGTAATGTTGGGTTTGATTAGGGTGATAATACCTTGTAAATGTGGAAGGAGCACACCAGATCTTTGGAAACAGTAAGGATACCGGCTGCATTATCGAACTCTCCACAATAATTGGGAGCACTAAATAACGTAACCATCTGAAAGATGGACTGTAAGCCTGGGCACAATGGGTGAAAATAAAATCATCCCATGTAAATTTAACTATTATCTAGATTGGTTCCCCGACCGAGGCCGACTGTAGTTATACAATCATAGAAATTCAGGACATTGGACAAGGAGTTACTTTTTTACTGCTTGACTTACACTACTCTGAGATTCAGTGAAGCAAATCGGTATTAATTTGGTTTTATTATCAAAGCCAAAATGAAGAGAGTGCTAAAAAATAATCTAATAGCTAATTCCTTCGTGCGCTATCATCAATTAAAACTGCTAATGAGAAAATCCGCCGGCCGGCCGGTCCGGTCGTCATCTTCACATTACAGTAGCTGGAAAACGAACGCTGTTTCATCGTTGTTTTGTCTTCGCGCGTTCCAACAAATACGACGACTGAGACAGAATTGGCGCCTCGTTCTCGCGCGCAATTTGTAATGAAAAAACAGATCGGGTAAGACTACCCAGTACCCTAGCTGGCCATGGCCCAGTAGCTGTTAAAATAATGCCTACTGAAAATTTCATCGGATTTTATGTCGATTATCACTTAAGTAATATTTTATTCCTCAAATAAAGTTTCACAGTGAAGCATTCTGCATGAACATATTCCGATTATAAATTAAAAAGTTTAGAGAAGAAATTCAAATTAACAGTTTCCGTCTTCATTAGCAAATGTTTATCAGTTATTTCATACACTGATTGATTTCCTCCGATCATTTCGTTAATCAACCAGGAATAAGTTATTAGTACATTCTAATGACAAATTACTGAACCTACCTATTGAACCTATTGTTAATTTAATCAAAACGTATGTAAAGAGTTAAGACTAACCTTCCGTTTGCAGAAGAACTCATAACCATCTTCAACAACCTGAAATAATTTTAAGATTAATTCTTTACTTTACATCATACACTAATTCAAACACGTTTTTATTCATGAAATTGCAGATTTAATAGCGCAAAGTAATCAAATAATCAAAAAAAGTGAAGCCGATAGTAATAACTGCAATCATTGCACACACAGCAAGTAAATGCTATTTGGATTTAAATCACTGCAATAACTAGTTGCTCGAAGTACATTAAATAACCTGGCGTTATTACATCCAAATAGGTGGTCAAACTTCGAGCGTGTAATTTCAAATTTAAACGCAAAAAACAGACTACCCATTCCGTAATCGTGGTGGAATCGTTAATCATATAAAACTTTTCAGTTCTCCTAATTAGAATAGGCAATTTCATAATTGATTCCAGAACGTGATTAGACAGAGTAGGAATTTTTCTGATTTTCGTAAATATTCGATTTTAACAGAGTTAATGAAATAATTAATTTTTAATTAATTTTGTAAATTTTTGAATCAATTCGATTGACTAAGTATTTCAAGTTCTTCAGACAGTGATCGTGGAATGAACAGCATCATTCTAATTCTCTCAGCTGGTTACTTGAAGGGCACTTCAAGGCAAGTTATTGGAATGCATACGATCCATTCTTTACACGGACGACCAACGAGACAACCTGGCAACTCCCGTGGGAATTTTCTTGATGATAAACTCACTACACCTTGACCCTCGAGGATATTGTTGAGCAGCAGAAATGTTGGTATAATGTTGTACGGCTATGTTACGGAATGTTGTACGGCTTTGTTTGCACCCCCTCGAGAACACTTTACCGACACCGTCTAACAAATATCACGTAGTTTAAGGTCTTATTTTCTCACACAATCGCTTTTAACATCCACTGTGCGGAGCAAACTCGAATACTGCTGTTTGGAATCTAATATCACATTCAGTGATATAGAAGTATCCAATAAAACCGGCCGTATCAACTGTGTTATACTGGTTAAGTCTCTTCATGAGCTGGGATCTGTACTGAGTTGCAATAGTGTTGATGTTTCTCATGATGAAGCAGATGTCTAAATATATAGTACGGGATTATGAGCCAAATTGAGTACAAGCCACCCGTCTTGTCAGAGAGCAAATCAGTTGGCTTCTGTAGGTCCCTGCTGTACCGTACAACGTTTGGATAACAGCATCCTGAACCAACGGCCAGCCTTAATCTCAGGTACTTGCCTCCACACATGAACGGAACAAACTTATAATTTATCGACATCGAAGCTTGTAAAAGCGTTCGATATGTTCTTTCACGTCATCACATGACAAGCTCGCCGAATGAAGAACGTGACAAAACGAATGACATATCATGTCATTGATAGGTCGAATACCAGACTTTTAGACCTGCCGTGTGGAATGTTATGACACGAGTCACATATATGATATATATGGCAGTTCTTAGTGAGAGGAACAATGACACCCGCACTCTTTATGTGGCAAAATGGCATGCTTAGGGCCAGGGGGGTATGAAGCAATCGGTTCTTTGTGAGAAAGCGAAAAACATATGCACATAATGCCATGTGAAATTGTGAAATGCTATGTGAAATTGTGAAATGCTTAGGGCGGGGGCGTATGATGAGCCACTCCGTAATCTGGTGATGTAATCTTTAGACTTTGGTTCGCAATTAACACTTCTTTTGATGGGGTACTAGTCTTAAGCAGCAGAGTCAAGGACCAGGTTTATTTTGGTATTCGAATAGATTGAAATTTAAAGTACCCCTAAAAAAGGCCAACATTTTGAAACCATCTGTAATTCTTCACACGAAAAGTAGAGAGAATAATATCTAGAAATTGAGATTGTTCCGGTGAGACAGCTGCATTTAAAGCTCGAGTAATGATGTGATTCAGGTAAAGTGAGGTACCATTACAGTTCCATAACAGTGTAACGGTACCTCACTTCACTAATGGTATCTGTCACACAGTAGTGTCTACTTCTTCTCAATAGTGCTGTCACAATATATAATCAGCTGAATTGTAAAGTGCTTTCTGACAGGTGACAGTAATTACCCAATAATCTTCCAGCATTGACCAATCAAAAGCCAGCATCACTGTCACGTGTTATAACACATATAGTTCACATCCAGATCACTGCTCCAATATAATGGGATGATGTGCACTACAGGCCTACAGCGTACAGAGAGAGAGGGCGCTAATGTTCTTATTCTAGAGAGTAGTGAAACTACCTGCTGCACAGTAATAGCAGATCCTCTGTGAATTAGTCTACTCTGTGACAGATAACACTGACTAACACATCTTACTAATCTCCGTGTTTCTGAGAACTTTCATACAAAGGACTTGAAGCAAATATCATGAATCATCTCTGACAGCTCTGACAGTCTGACAGAGCAGAAAAAAGCAATAAATAGCAATATTTAGCAATATAATATAGCAAATAGGAATATATAGCAATATCGCAATATATAGCTAGATAATATGTGACAAGTGATGTACACATCGTCACATACAGCGTGTCTAAGCACTGTAATACTGTTTAATAACCGCGACCAGATATACACATAACATGACACGAGAGAGAGAGAGAGAGAGAACGTTTAATATAATATTTAGATACTGAGCCTAGTTCAGTCGCAGCGAGCTGACAAAAGCTTTTAACACGAAAATGCAATGTTTTACAGTTCAATGAGCTTGTGTATCGTGCGTATATAACAGTGCGTATAATAGTGCGTATTATAGTGCGTTCAATGAGCTTGTGTATCGTGCGTATATAACAGTGCGTATAATAGTGCGTATTATAGTGCGTATAATAGTGCGTATTATAGTGCGTATTATAGTGCGTATTATAGTGCGTATAATAGTGCGTATTATAGTGCGTATAATAGTGCGTATTATATAGTGTGTGTCACGTGATGTGTATTACCAAGCTGGCACTGCACACTAATGTACAGAAGGTGCTGGCAGTACCTTACTGTTTATAATTTGTCCACACAAGGTGTTTATAATTTGTCCACACAAGGTGTTTATAATGTGTCCACACAAAGCCACCCCAGTTCCGCCAGCTAATGTAATCATAAGATCAAAGTACGGAGTGTGGCACACATATTGTTCAGGGTCCACTTGTTCATTATTCGATACATTGCTAGAGAGTATGGTAATCTGATTAAATGCATCATTTTGGTTATGTGCCCAATTCCTGCACCATCTACGATCCCTGTTAGTTTTAGTAGCGGACGTAGCCTCCTTTCAAGAGTTAGAGAAGGTACTCCACAGCTAATCATCTGGGTTAGGAGCCGGATCTAGACTAGTAATATTGGGGGTTATCACCCTGGCAATGGCCCAAATTAGTGTGTATGCTTCCCTGAACACCCAATAATTATATGTGAACGATCTTTATCCCGATTTACCGCAAACCCTGATTTACTGTGGCTGTTTCTTTCCCCTAAAATCCACGGTAAATCGGGCTTTTAAAGTTCCTGGTTAAACCTGATATCGTAACATGTTTAGAAAGGTAAAATTAGCTGCACTGCAGCTATTACTGCCGGGGTGGTAATAAGTAGTTTAGTGGTTAACGGGTTGATCACTATTTTAAACAATAGCCTAAATAGTAGGCTAAATAGTAGATTTATTGAAGTTCTCGGAATTTATCCCCTCATTCTCAGAAAACAGCCTCACCAGTGTATGAATAGGGTTGAATAGCATAAAGTAAATTTGTAACTAGCAAAGATAAATGGTAAAATTTTTTGCCATGATCGTGAAACGGAACTTTTACCCATTAATTTCAATGGTTTCAATACTTATCATTATACTTATACTTATGTTAGGTGCATGCTAGTATCGATCAATTTTGGAAAACTAGAACGACTCATTAGTGAAATTATTATATACAGTTAACTATTATCATAGCTTAAGCTAGTATAATCAATGATAATAGCGACTAGTAAAGAGGTATGTGCAATGTGCATTTACGTGATGAAGTCGAACTAAAACACGTCCTCTCATTAAACGAACTAACTGTACAATGTACATTACATGGATCAGTACGTGGTCATTAGTGAGATCTATAATACGTCCTCTCTTTGAAGTAAGGAATGCTAACTGGTATGCAGATAACGAGTAAATATAACTAGAGATAAGGTAGTATATAATGCAGGTATTTACATTTTACCTGATAAGTTCTAACTATAAACGTCCGGGTCTCATTTAACCAACTAACTATAAACATGTCTATTTACCTCTAACTATTAAAAATAAACTATCTAAAAAGATAAGATTGGTATTTACCTGATGAGCTCTGACTATGAGACTAAGATTGTTCCGTTTTAGAAACTTGCTGACTTCGTTAGCTCCAAACGTGAAGCTGACACCCCTGTCATTATCACCAAATCCCACTATATCCTGTTAAGAGTTTTAAATGTTAGTCAGATACCAGCAGGAAGTAACTTGTAATTAGTAACTAGTAGCTAGGAACTGTAACTAGTAACTGTAAAGTGTAACTAGTAACTGTAAAGTGTAACTAGTAACTGTAAAGTGTAACTAGTAACTGTTAGTGAGAGTCTCGGAGCTGAGGTTTATTGTGGTGTGCACTGTGTAAACTGTAACTACTGTAACTAGCCAATGTGTAGTGTATGCCACACACACACACACACACACACACACACACACACACACACACACACACACACACACACACACACACACACACACACACACACACACACACACACACACACACACACACACACACACACACACACACACACACACACACACACACACACACACACACACACACACACACACACACACACACACACACACACACACACACACACACACACACACACACACACACACACACACACACACACACACACACACACACACACACACACACACACACACACACACACACACACACACACACACACACACACACACACACACACACACACACACACACACACACACACACACACACACACACACACACACACACACACACACACACACACACACACACACACACACACACACACACACACACACACACACACACACACACACACACACACACACACACACACACACACACACACACACACACACACACACACACACACACACACACACACACACACACACACACACACACACACACACACACACACACACACACACACACACACACACACACACACACACACACACACACACACACACACACACACACACACACACACACACACACACACACACACACACACACACACACACACACACACACACACACACACACACACACACACACATAATAATAATACACAATATTTATAATACTGCAGTATTTTGTGTGTACACATATTTATAAATCCATTGTGCCTGATCCGGTACTCTAATCCACGGACTCTTGTCCGATTAGCAATTATGCGAACAATTAAACTATTTTTAAACATTCCTCAAACTACACCCATTCACATTTCACAGTTCAATAACCAAACAATGCATTTGTTAAGTAGCGCGCTTAAAAACGTCAACACGCACGAACACTGGTGCAATGTATGAAAACCAGGATTTCAGTGTGGAGTTATTGTTACATTGGATTAGTGCTTTGTTTATAAGGGCCTAATACGGAGGCTGAAGGTAATATTATGTTACATAATTTATAGCATGGAATCTTTGTAATATTGCATAATTCGTGCAGAGGATGCAGTGGGTTTACGATTACATACTAAATTACTTTGAGCAAATGATACAAATATTTAAAATTATTAATTAGGGCGGAATATGCAAACACTCGGAGATAAAACTTGATGAAAATTCGGGAAATGTCAATTTTTCAGAATTAACATATAAAGGGAAGGAATCTCACCGGGTCAGGGTCACTCCAGAGTAGGTCACACAAGACACCTTTGTTGGGGATATCCAGCGGTCTTTCTATCTTGTTCAGATCACGTGGGTCTAACAGGTCAGGCGACAGACCGCCGTGCATACAAAATATTGTGTTCTCTACCAACGCCGCTGTTGGGAATTTTTAACATAATAAAATATCAAACATATTATTCATAATATTTACTATCAATTGCAATACACCAGACCAGGTTATAGAATATAGACCACTGAGCATAAAGCATATTGTGTTCTCTACCAGCGCCGCCGAAGGGAATTTTTAACATATTTAACATATTTTCATAATATTTACTGAATACCACGAACACCACCGTAGGATATTGCAAGATCAGCGGCCAGCTTTCATTGAACATACTACGTATACACAATACATTAGACCCGGTTTTACTTGGTAAAATACAGAAAATTATCAAAGGACCAGCTGATTCTGTATCTCCGTTATATTTTGTGTTGTTCAATGTTCTTGGATCTCTAGCTCACCCCAGCCGGCCCATCCCCGCGCCGGTGCCCCCCCCCCCCCCCCCCCCCCAAGCTAAAACACTTATCGGATTTATTATAAGTACGTAGCTACTTCATTGTAATTCTCATTGTAAACTTTACCTTTTAAACTTTGAAGATGGGATGATTCGGGATTCTCCAAATTACCCAATCACATCAATGATAATAGTTGAATAAAATACTGTTTCATTCGTCTAAAATACGGACCTTTAATTCTTCATACAATAGCTAATTATGTGCGCATAACTTGATTAATTTAGAGACTTAAGAATTTCTATTCTCTTGTAACTTAATTATAAGAAAAGTGAAGGTGTTGGATGGGTCGAGCTCGATTACAGTTCTTGGTATTTGAAGGTTTGAGAATCTAATTTTATGATTATATTCCCACATCTGGCTTGAAATTTTCACGAAATGTCTCGTTTACTCATATACAACTTTTCGTAAGTCGCGGAAATTAGTGTCTATAATTATAGTCCATTGTGAAGCATATAATAATGACATTGAGATGCAATTTACAAATTGTAATCTTCAGTTCTTTTCTTTGATGTCTGAATCATCAAAAGAACCCGATAAAGATAATTGGTTAGTAAACGTCTCGATACTTATACCACAAAATATACTTCTTAACGTGCAATTGACCCAGAGAATGAGTTAAAAAGTTAATAAAGAATCTTTTACAATGTGACAACTTGAACAGCGCCCTGACCACAATTCATCATGTAAGTGTAAGACTTGTGTGGGCCTGTCGAATGTTGCGAACAAAATACATTATCTTAGGTTGGTTAATGTGATTGGGGACACCGTTTTACGGTTTTCTAGAATGCCTATTGTTTCATGTTTGTTACAGTGTTACAAAAGGTTTAAATAATTGAATAAGACGTTGTTACGAATGACGTGATTTTACATGATAGATTCTTGAATCAAATAATGACAGAATAATCAATATAACTCTATATTCAATTTCGTTGTTACATGTACTTATACTAGACTTATCAGATCTTTGGGATGTTTATTTTTAACTTCTTCAGATTTATGTAAAGTTTGATAATAAATATACATACCTAAGGGTAGGCAGTTGAAGACGTCGGTAAATGTTTTCCATATCTTGATGTTATAGCGCCTCTTGCACTCATCGTAAAATCCGTATATCCTGGGAGAAACAATGTTTAGTTTTACTAGTACATAATATTGTGTTATTATATCTAGTTTGTTTAGTATTAAAATATAAAAAACAAATAACATTTGTACGTGATTGTTGGAAGAAGTGCAATAAAACTGTACTAATTGAAGAAGCAATAGAACTAAAAACAAATTGATTTCCAATTATCATACTACAGAAATTACACAAGTTATTAAATTGTCATGGATGTACATAATCAGAATATTTAAAGTCCCTACTTAATTTATGTTGTTTCCGGTTCGTATTTACAACCCACAACAAGAAACAAACAAACATGATGAACACTGAACAGTCATTCGAACTGAGCTGTTGTAGATATAAAAGTACAATTGTTGTAGATACAATTCAAGGTACAATTGTTGTTATTGTTCCCACTCTATCTTCAGAAAGACGTCATGCACTATATAAAAAGTAAGAAGTAATTTGAGAAACGCGTTTGATAGAAATAAAATCAACCCCCGATTCAAAGATCACTACTTTTGGCGCTCGGCCAAAAGAAGCACGCTGGGCAAAATTTTGCAGCCCTGACAGGAAAGTCAACACATTTACTATGTACCTACGTCATAAAGAAAGTTCTTCGAAATTCGCATATTATATATACTATTATATAGCTATAGTTTTGACGGCACTGAATTTTTTCAGCCCATTTCATTAATCTAGTGCTATTAGCTGCATACAAAGAAGCAGCATTAGAGAAAAAAAATAGGGAGCTTGATAATTAACTCGATGATTATTTCTCAGTAGTATAACAATTATAAGTCGAAATAATAATTATACAATTATGCACATACTATGAGTATTGCTGAAAGCACAGTGTAAGGCCTACACGGACCGCCTCTAACTAGCCAATCCCTGTTTACATGCCGTGTAGCAGGGGACTAGAAAGAGCTAAACTAGTAAGCGGGGCATAGCCAATACACTATACTTCCATCATTGAGTATATTACCAACCAGAAGGAAAATTTCCTTGTGTTTGGAATCTACCAAGACGAAAGTTGTACAATCCAGCGAAATTCCGAAGAATCACTATGTTATTTTCTCTTAAAACACCGGCATAACATGACGAAATAATATTATACATGATGATTGCAGTTTCTAAAAGCCAGTAATTAGCATTGGAGGAGTTTGACAAAACAACAACTAAAAACACTCCGCATGCATTCCAACGTTACAGTTCGATCATGACACGCTTCATTCTCTCTTTCTCTCTCTTCAGTCTTCATTATCAACACAATACCACACATAACTCTGGTCACTATATATTTTTGGGTACACGATTTGTACTCCTTTACATTGCATGGATTGTACTCCTGCACAGTTGCTCGATGCGAAACAACTGAGACTTTAGAGTTAGTACATCAATTACGGCTGGTGTAATGGAATCACAAGCACGCTGCTGCTAGCAGCTTGGTATGTAACAAATTGTTTTTAGCAAACAAAAGGATGTCGTTTCTATTGGATCAGAATGTCGTTGTACAAACTCTAATCGGATTATTCTTTTCTTTTTAACTCCCTAAACGGTATTTGCCATTGTGATAAAACAATGCTGCTATTTCAGGACGGATTAGCTGACTGAATCTAGACAAAACTCACACAGAGATGATAAATTAGAAAATCATTGCAGCAGCACAAATATAAAACGGATTAATCAACTCTATTTTAACTGAAGAATGGATCTCACCCACCCAATAATTATAATACACATTCTTACTATTTCTATTGGTCGGAGTACACTTATTAATTGAAGCATACTTCCCTATCAATAGCAATTAGAAGCGCATTGAACTGTTAATTATTTCACACTAACCTATTAATTGAAGCACACTCGTGATTGCCGCGCAGAAGAAAGATGTTGTCTGGATACTTGACTTTAAAAGCGAACAGCAAACAAATTGTCTCCAACGATCGTTTCCCCCTGAAAATGAGAAAATAATTGTTATATTATCACTCGACTCCTCGCGTTTTACTTACTATCATGTTATATAATCACTTTAGTACCAGCAGTAGTATCTGTCGGCATCTCAATAAGCAGCGACTACTAATGTTCGTATGTCGATAATATCCAATGATTCCCCAGAGGATCACAAGATTATGCATGCAGAGTAGAGATCAGCATAACTATTTTATTTATATAAATATTGCCAAATATTTTTGTTTAATACCGTCCTTGGTCAATGGCCAGTCAGGAATGTTGTGTAAACTCTTGACACAGACCACATGATGGCTCTGCCAGAGGAATAGGAAAAATAATTAGTACTATAAGGTTGGCTAAAACAATTTCCATTTGAATGACTGACTGGGACACTAGCCTTATGATAATTGATGATACAATGTGGATTTTGACTAAGAACACAGAATATATATTGTCGGAATAATATCTTAATATGAAGAATTACTTCTTAAAATCGTTTGTTCTATCGCCGTATTATCAAGTGCAATATAGATTTTTGCCATGCAAAAAAGTTAAAGCTTCTACAGTTTAACAATGTTCTTGTTTATGTAAAATCGGACGTGCATGGTATGTCCGAATTAGTGTCTGATAAACAACTGCTTAGCAAATGCTCGTTCTGTGCTGTACAACATTTGTAACTACGGCGAGAATTACATCACATCTAAGAATACGCTGTAAAAGTTCTTTAAAACACAGTTTTTTACGATAGCAAGATAGCGGGAGAAAGTGTATTTTGAGAAACATTCTCAACGTTTAACCACTGTCTGACCACAGCAGTGGAGCTCTATTAGAACTGTACAGAAAACAGTAGAGTCTCAGAAAAATGTGCTTGACAAATGATAATGAAAAAGAGGAATGTACCGTCTCAAGTGTGCACGATATTTAGGAGTTATAGATGTTTATAATAATCATGCTACTATTGAAATCAGATAAAGGGATTTTTATAGTATTGTATCTTGTGTAAGATGTCTAGAGGGATGGTTAGATACAGTATAATGGCATAATGATTTCTAGTAAATTTGTGTATCCTAAACATATCCTACTACGACACAATGCTAACTAAAAATGAGCCCGTACCTAATAAAACTGCATCCAATTTTAAGAATAAATATTATAAATGTACCTGTCGACGTAATCCCCCAGAAACAAATAGCTCTGATGGGGAGGAATTCCAACTATCTTCATCTGCTCTATGAAGTCCTCGAACTGTCCTGATAATTGAAAACTTGGATCATTTCACTTTATAAAAATGTCTTATCATTTAAATATGTTCAATGTACCAATTGAACTATAATCCAAATGCACAAAAATTGACCTTCTCAAGTGCGTGCATGCCAGTGGCGTAACGTTGCCTGTTGGTGCCCCCTGCCGAAAATGCGCCCCCCTGTTGGCGCCCCCTCCCCTTTTGGCGCCCCTCCCTAAAATTGAACAAATTAGGTGATTTTAGAGGATAAGCCGGTAAAAGCTCTAAAAAAGTGTGTTTCTTGAGCAAAACGTGCAGTTTTGCTAGTACCTCAGTTAAGTTTTTCCAAATTGTCCCACATTCAAACAACAATTTTGCACCCCCCTAAGATGGCACCCCCACCCCACACAGTGGGGTCAGTGGGGCCCTTCGTTACGCCACTGGTGCATGCATAGTTCATAGCTAGTCATTATATTGACAATGATGCAGATTAACTAAGAGTAACTGAGTAGTAACTAAGACTAACCGTGGATATCACCGCAGATGTTGACAGGTGCAGAGAGCTCAGGAAGGACTGGTTGCGACATGATCACATCACGTGCTGCCATACACAGTTTTCTCAGCTGAGATTCCGGCATTTCAAGCTGAAAATATTTGTGGTTAGCCGTTACTGTACCTAATACTACCTATAATAAAAGTGGTGGTCAACGGAATAATAGAAATTTTGAGACAATATCACAATTTATTAAAAAAAAAGGAAATTGGAATTAATTGGATATGTATTTTAAATCTATTGATAAGTTTTTACACACTGGGGCAGAAGGGTTGTTGAACAGTTTAAGCATCTTCTTGAGGATACCATCGATGTTGAAGTCCACAGCAGGTACAGCATCTGCAGAAACGTCTTGTTCTACCATGGTGTCTTAATCTAACGAACATTTCAAGTTAAGATGGATTAATTTGAGTCTGTGTGCAGATTCACTGATTATAAGATATTTATTGAATTGAAAAGTCAGTGTTCATAATGCTATAATTACATCCCTCATAAAGAAACTGCCTGATGGAATTCATTCAAGGGAAACGGAATATGAATGAATCAAAAATTGTATTATGCATTCCTTTAATCATATTTTAAACTTTCCATAAGGGGTTAAACCGCAATTTAGTTTACTTGAAGTAAGATGTAAGGGTGTCAGGGGAAATCAGTAAAAGAGGATCTCACGTGGGCTTTATTCCTTTCAATCTCATTCCATCATGTGAATCATATGATTTTTGATTGAAGACTTTAAAAAAATTATCTTCACTATCATTTTCGGCGCTGTGTAGCTACACGCTGTATAACATGTGAGTCAAGCGGGTGCCGCGCCTAAGCAGCAAAAGAGGTATAGATAAATTCTTTTAATATACTCTGTTCTGCCAATCAGTTCTGACTGTTGATATCATTTAAATTTGATAAAATTTATTTTTGTTTCTCAAAAATGATGTAAAGTTTTTAATATGACATAGAATTAAAGCTATTTCCGTATATAATGCTCGTTTGAAAAACTATGAACATGCTAGCTTTCTTTATTTTGTTAGTCGGCCGACATCTTGGGTTGTACTGGACCTAACAAGTTTATTATCGGATGTCTACTTATATTTATTATGATATCATTATTCATGTAAGGATAAGAATAAGATTCGCTATGTTAAGAACCACACTTATAGCTCTACGAGGGTACAGAGGGAAAAAAATGGACAGCAAATATGAGACACCACTATCAGAAGTCTCTTATAACCTCATCCCTGCCCCTATGATGGAGTAGATGTGTATATTATATCTGATTGTTGATATTTCATATTATATAATATTGGTAGCAGTGGACAATTTCCGTTACCTCTGTATTGTGCTCTGCCAATTGCAACACTTGAATTACTTTATTGTATATATATATACTGTCTGACACTTTTCCAGGTTATTCATTGTAATGACCTTTAAATTTTGTTTTACTAACATTTTTGTTTAACTTTCAAGGGGATCCAATTTCTCTTTTTAAACCAAAATTTTACTAATTTAATTTATTCAATTACATTATTATTATTATTAAATCTAAAATAGCTAATAATTTAATAAATTATTAACAGGCCCCTTAACGTGGGCAATAATATACGCTTTATAAATTATATAAACAAATTGCAGTCTATTTTTCCAATGTTGTTAAGTGTCTCTTTAGATCTGTTTTGGTGTTTTGTGGGAGTTCCCACATTTGTTGGTTGAGAATGCTCAACATAACATACATGATGCTTGACTGCTTTATTGACCCGGACAGGCACCGGGGGCAGACATCCCAACACCAGTGCGTTGGGACATAGTGTTGGTCTGCTTCAGGACGTGTTAGATCCTAGAGAAGCCGCCATCCCCTCTGGCCTCTACTGCTTTAGCTCAGCGGCAGCATGAGCCCTGGTTTCCTGCCACATTGGTACCTCTGAAAGTACAGAAAAGTGGTGGATTTCGGGGTCCAGGATCCTCCCTCTTTAATCTTTACGGTGGTGTTATTTCTCTGAGATGTTTGCAGAGTCTTTATTTTATAATCTTTCTAGTTTAGTTGGATAAATCCTGGAGAGCATCATTTTGACCCCAAAGAAATTCGACTCTTCTAATGAATGCTTTTTGTGTGCTGCTTTTTGTTAACACTTCATCTAGATAGGAATGTGAGTCAGCCCCACCCAGCTCTTCTTTTAGCTGCAAGTAACTGGTGTCTTGCACCTCCAGACACAATAGGAGCTGGTGTACAGGAGAATCATCGAAGCTGTTGCAGAAACGACAGGCCTCACCACTGTCACCACCCATGATCTTTTGGATATTCGCAAAGAGTGGTGAGCTGCCGTGAATGTAGTCCATTATTCGGCTGTCCAGATTTTTACTCGTGTTGTGCCCGAATAAGAAGTTGTTTTTGTCTAGGAGCAGCCCACTGTTTTTGATCTTTGTGATCACACCAAGTATCTTGGTCTCCTTGTTGTTACTGACAGTTCTGCATTGCAGATTTGTTTCGATGCTGTCAATCCAGATCTTATTTTTGTAGCTCATTATGTCTGCCTGAGTGTAATAGGCCAGATCCTTGAAATGTTGCTGCGTTAGGTCTATCATTCTGGTTCCGTGTGACTTATTTTCTTTCCAAAGGAAGTACTTTTTCAGTGACATTGTTAAGATATGAAAGCTTGGTATTCTGCTTTCGTCAACTTGGTAGAGTGTAGCTGAGAGGTTGTCACCTTGTGTGAGTACTTTGCACATGAATTTAACCGAAAGAGCTTCGAGTTGCACATCCAGTGGTGGGAGGTGGAGAGCAAGTTCGGTTAATTCCCTTTGTGGATTCAGGACTGATCCAGATATTTTTAGAATGATTTTATTCCAGAAGCTTTTAAATTGATTGAGACACTTGTGAAGCCAATTAGGTGCTGCATAGAACAGTTTAGTGAGGACCAATGTTTTAAGGAGGAGAGTGAGGCTGTAAACGTTTAGACCGTAGTTGCGGTTAGTTGATTTTGTTATTAATCCCCACTTTCTTTTGCATTCTTTAAGTTTTTGAGACGCATGTTTCTTGAAATTGAGGTCTTCATCTACTATTACCCCAAGGACCTTTGTGCTTTGGACGTAGTTGATGCTTTTCCCATTAATACATAATTCTGCAGGTTTCTGTTCTTCAGTATAAGCTGCAGTTTTCAAGATTATGGCCTCCGTTTTATTCGTATCACAGTTCACTACTAGCTTGTTCTTGATGCACCACTTGCTGAGGTGGTCACAAACCATCTGCATTTTTTCATGGCATCCGGAGATGTTCTCGAAGGAAATCATAAGTGTACCGTCATCAGCAAATTTGTAGCAGCTTAGATATCTTTTTACTTCTTCCGGGGTGTTGTGTGTCATGTCTGCTATGTATAGGATGAAGAGGAGAGGTGAGAGTACAGCCCCCTGAAGGTTAGCCAGCATTCTGAAAAGATATCGCGTTGTTGATCTCCCTCCAATGAAACCTTCTTGATCTTCATCAAGAGTTCCTTCAATGTCCAGGAAGAGTCTCAATCTTTTATCTAGCACTCTTTCACAAATTACAAGGCAAAAACTCAATGGATGGTTACCGTAATGGGTGCCACATGCCTAGCACAGTGGCGTAACTTTGCCTGTTGGCGCCCCCCGCTCAGTGACGAAAAGTGCCCCCCCCCCCTAAAATTTTTTGTGTCCCTAAAAAAAAAAAAAAAATAAAGGTCGGGTACTTTTTTTCTCGCCCCCCCCCTCCCCTACAGCTTTTTGCACCCCCCTGAAGCAAAAAAGGGTACCCCAAATAATTTTTCGCGTCCACCGAACGCTAAATTGGACAGGAAAATACACAAATAAGGCGTTTTTTTTTAGTGAAAGGGCCAAAAATTCAGGAAAATTGCGCCCCCCTTATACGGCGCCCCCTGCACAGCGGGGTCTGCGGGGCCCTAAGTTACGCCACTGGCCTAGCATGAAATATTTACCTACTTACTTGCACTTGTGTAGGTCTGTAGAAGCATTAGAATCGGGCGTTGCCTGCCACAGGCTATCCCGAATTTAGAAGCTTGCTTTCATCAATTTATTCAATTAATTATATTGTTTAGGTTGGACGTTTACCATTACATGTTTGTTCACATTGCTTATTGTGTTCTGCCATGGCCTGATCAGCATAGTTTTCTATGCTGATCAGGCCATGGTGAAATTTAGTTTAAACAAAAGTTTTCATACTGTGGCCAGTGACTTATTTTAGTAAGACAGGATAAGTTTTCTATATTCTTAGGAATAGGCAATTCTAGGAGGTAGGTATGAGGGATCAAAACGCTTCTAGGGCTAACAATAGCTGATAGCTGGACAAGAAAAGTGAGTTATGTGACTCCCGTTAGTAAAACAAAGATTTTTGGTGAAGCAAAGATTTTAGTTTATATTACTCACTACTTACTACTACATAGTAAGTTCAAATATTCATACTTCAATAACAAATATACTATACCAGAGAAGTCCGATCTAGCAGTTGCCAATCAAAACACAATTCATTTACAGTGATCTGTTTGAGTAGACACCGATGAACTAATAAGTTTTGGTGTCATCAGTCATAACATAATAACTATTATGGATGAAATGAAATGAAATGAAATGAGGTATTTATATCCCGCTCATATGATTAACCAACAACACAAGGAAGGTGGTTAACCATGTCAGAGCGGCTGACTGTGAGTGATGTGAGCAAAAGTGTAAAAAGTGAACTAAAGTATAACTCAGCATAAGGCAAAGAAAAAATTAAAACAACTTTTATTGTAAACCACACTAAACTAAATAGAAGCAGAAACCATACAGTACATGTAGGTATAATAAAGGTTAGTACAGTGACATAATCAATCAAGAAAGAATCAGATCCAAGTAAGTAAGAGATCAAGGCATAAAATGGAGTGCGGTAAAAAATAAAAGCCAATGTGTCTTGCAAAGTGAAGACAATGGAAAGAAAAACATCAGAACTGATTATATAAATGATTCTTTAACATTCGCTTGAAACAGTTGGTATCAGTGATACATCTCAACATCAGGGGAAGAGAGTTCCATGCAATCGGTGCATGGCTTGAGAAACGTCTGTCATCAATTTTGGATCTTTTATTCTTTGGTACCTTGAGCATGAGATGGTCATCAGGTCTCTTCGACCTGGTCATGGTCATGGTGTTTGAGAGTTCTTTATCCACTACATCCACATCCAGTAGTGCTTTGAGGTAATCAGGTGCAGTACCGTGAACTGATTTGTGGGTTAAAAGACAAACTTTAAAGAAGATTCGTTGGTCTATAGGGAGTATGTGGGCCTTCTTATAGAAGGGAACCAAGTCCGTGGTCTTCTCTTCTATGTTATAGATGAAACGAACTGCCCCATTAAGGGTTCATCTAAGTTTGTTCAAT